ACATGCGTTTCCAAGTTCAGGAGGAGTAGCTAATAATAAGCTTAAGGCGCTTAACTACATAGTTATGTGGCAGTAAAAATCATTGTAAGGCCAAAAGACACACACAGTGATTTTCAGGAGGTAGTGTTTCTCAGTGTAGCCTATATTAACTTTACTATCAGATAATAAAATGAAAATAATAATAAAAATCCATTAAAAACACTCTGGTACATAATTTAATGTCATAGAAAAACAGCCTTTATCTCTGACTTATCACTGGGACAAAAATAAATATATAAATGAATAAAAACAGTGAACACAGCCTCTCGTCTCCTCCCAGCTGGAAGCACAAAAAGATCCAAATGGAGACAGTATGCTGCCCACTCTTCCCTACAGCAACTTGTTCCTCCAACATTTTCAGCCACTTCCTGGGATCTTTTTGATATTTTTGGGTCTCGGACCCCCCCCCAAACACCCTCACCACCACTCCTCCCACGTTCATTGCTCACCCCACCCCATCCTCTTTGCTTATACCAAGCCTGCTACCTCCCCTTCTCTCCCAGTGGGGGGTCCTGGGTGAGGATCACTGCCTTCGATCGGAGGGGCCTCTGATTGTAGGATTGGGCACTCTCAGTGGAGTCAACCGGATCAATCCCACCAATTCCACCATTTGGCTCCCACTGTGCCTGATGACAATGTTGGCATTCCACATGTAGCCTGACAGGCTAGATGAAATTTGCAGCATCGATCTGGATGCAAGGGCAGTGGACACGGGTGTACCACAGTGCAGTGCACATTACATAAATACACAGGGAATGACCGCAACACAAAATACCATGTAAAGCTGTGAAAAAGTACTGTAATGAAAAGATTCTGACAGTGGCATAGAAAGTGACATTTTTAAGAGACAGTTGTTTTGTAAGGACTTCTGTGCTGAGGATTTACAACTCTGGCTTCAACAATGTCTAGTTTATGTTAAAAGAAGTACTACTTAATCTTTAGTGCAGTAATTTCAGGAGGCGACGATTCCT